TAAACATAGCTGGACTGTATTTGCATGGTCTCTTGGAGTTCCTTGGGCTAGGCCTGACAGAGGTGATTAATGCTACTGTTAAGGGAAGTTTCATTCTACTAGTAAAATGTGAATCTGGATTCTCTGATTATGGATAAATGTCTAATATCTAATGTGTACTTTTTTACTAAAATAATGGAAAAATGGTCATTTCTCATTTCTAGGTGGTTGATAATGTGTGTGTCCTTTCCAGTCTAATTTTTGGGTCACCCTAATGGATGACATACACAGGAATGGATAGGAGATCATGACTTAGTTTCCTGAACTTCTCATTAGCCTTTGATAAAAATGAGCATAATCACCTAGCCAGAGTAGTGGGTATGAAGTCAAAATGGCTTCAATTTTTTCTGGAAGGAAGAATCTAGAACATATATTAGATCAATCCTTTGTCTTCAATGGCAATTGACCTTTAAAGTGCTTCAGAGGTTTATCACATCCCTCGTGCTTTACATGAAGCTTCTGGGTTAAGGCATCTATAATCTGGAATAAGTTTCAGCAAAATAGCACATAGGTCTGTTTCATGCTTCCTGAACTAATCCCAGGGAGGCTGAAGTTGTGACTAAATGGTAAATCTGATTGTGACATAGATGGGTATAGCTATTATTAGGCTTACTCCAGATAAGATGAAGATACTACAGATTGGGAAAGTTGCTGATCTGAAGGTGTGTGACTAATTATGGATTAGTTAGAACTCTCCCAATTTAATACGTCTATTGCTTTATAATTTCATCTGTAAACAGTCTGCACAGTGCCTTTTGCCCCCATAGTACAAAATGTTGAAACAGTGATTGAAAACCTGCCCTACATCTGGTAGTCTTTAAGATATTATGGGAGTCATGATTGTTCTCTGAAAATTGTACTGATAGAAATAATACGATAACGAATGCAAATAATTCTTCCCAAGAGTTCTGCTGCCCTCTAATGGATAGCTGTTTTGTTCTCCATCTAAATTCTTAAGATTTTTCAGAATTCTTTCATTCAGAATTTAAAATACTATGCCAAGTTGTTTTTACAGTTTGAAAAAGTGTGGTGAGTGTAAAATAAAATACGCTACCTTGTTTTTAAGGAGTGGATCTGCTCCTGCTTCTAAGAGTAATGCTACTGCTCTAATATTGCCACCAAGTACTGCTGCATGAAGGGCAGATGTCCCATTCTAGAAAATACAGAAAAAGAATAAATATATTCATGTATTGCATCTGCAGAGTAACAGCTCAGTATTTTCATCAGAATAAGAAGGGCTCCTTCAGAAAAGGAACAAAGTACAACAAAACATTAACATCCAAGCTTTGTCAGCTATGGCATGAAATGATTCTATGACATTTGGAGATGTACTAGAAATACATTAAAGTTCTAGCACAAGACTGCACTACAATACTGTTGTAGCAATTTAGGATAAGGTGAATATGAATAATCTTCTGTATAATCTTTGAAATTATACTCAGATTCTGAGGCTTCCAGGAGAGGTTCTATGGTGGACAATATGTCTCTGAAGGAGTGGTGACAGTGCTGCGGTAGTGAACAGTGGCCAGCAGTGGTTTATGGCTGGTGAAGTCTTTCCAGATAAAGGAGAGACCAAGAGATCACCCACCTGCACCCTGGACAGCTGCTCCTCATGAGGAGACTGCGGAATAAAAGTCTTACAGTCTTCTTGTGAGTAGAGCAGCTGGGGGTCGAGAGAGAAACAGTGTGCTTGCTTCTGCAGCACAGCCTTTTAAATACATTAAGTTCAACCAAACCCTCACTTTCTTAACCACTTTTGAATATAATCAATTTATAGTTGAAGAGAGATCTTTGAAACAGCAGGATACGGAAAAACCACTTGGTGAGTCAGCCTTCCTTCTGAATTACAGAATGTAAAGCAAAGGGGAAAATAAGATTTTTAAAAGACTTTAAAATAACAGCAAACAGCTTAACACGATTTTGACTAAGAAAGTTACAAACGGATAAAGGGAACTGTATAAATTTGAAAGATTAACATTTTGGCAAAAGTGTTTTTGACATTATTTGGAATTAATTAAATAAATAGACCAGACCTTCATGGGAATGTTGATTATTTGATATCAAAGGGAAAAGACAATTGGTGGATTTTACAAAACAAGAAAATAAGTGTAACATGAGATGGACTATGTCATTAAAACTATGGAAAGACAGATTGGACTAAAGCCTGAAGGGTATAGAAAAGGCGAAAGGGGGGGAAAAAAAGGAGAAGCTTGCCTTTTACCTTCACCTTTGTAATTGACTTACTTTTACTTTTGGATTATAAATAAAAGAATGGTGACCACCAGAAAAGTGGTAAAGCTTGGTGAGGGGAGGACAGGATCATTGGAGCAACCAATAGAAAAGAGGATTACTCCAGAAATATTACAATAAATGTTTGAAGAGATGGGGAAGCAAGTATCTGAATCTGTCAAATCCGTTAAAAGTGATCTGGTTGCTTTTGAAGCAAGAATGGAAGAAAAGATTAAAAAGATGAAAGGAGATGAAAGAAGAAGTTTAAAAAATTGAAGAATCTATAGGACAACTTACAGAAGAAGTAAAACAAATCAATGACAAAGTGGAAATTTTAGAAAGTAAAACAGAAATAATAAATAGAGAGATGGAAAAGGACTTAGATGATCTGGTATTACTGGAATTGAGAGAAAAAGAATTCTGCTTGACACTTAGAGCAGTTCCAGAGGATTCTGGAGAAGACACTAGACAAAAGGTTGTTCAATCTTCAACAAACTTTTTGGAATGGGATGAAGATGACATAGAGGCAGAGACTGACAAAGTGTATAGAATCAATACGTGATTTGCAAAATTAAGAAATGTACTAATCTATCTCAAGTTGCTCCTATCAGACCAATCTGATCTTATCTCATTGTCCTCAGCTAAATTCTGTTTTACAATCTGTACAATACATTGTAACGTCCCTAATCAGGTGTGAATCTTATGTCTAACTTCTTACTCTGTGACCAAATAATAATTGATCTGATACAAGTTAGTATAAAAATTTATTACTCTTGCAGTCTTTTATAAATTTTAGTATTATTTATACCATTTTATAGTTATTTGTTTTAGTCAATTACAGTATTTAGATTATTTGTTGTAAAATTAACTGTAACCACAAAGGATTCTTTTGTTTATAATATCTTAACACTGCAATTTTACTTCAATAATTCTATCTTCATCCTACTTTATCTTATTAACATGATTTTTGTTTTTATACTTACTATAGGGTAAGAACTATGTCATTGGTTATATGCTGGTCTATGACCGAAATAAAATTGATTCATTGACTGAAATGTACCAAGGGATATTCTTGTGCACTTTGTCAGGAAGAAGACTAGACATCAAGTTTTGTAGCAGCATTTTACTGCCGATAGAAGATTAATAATGCATATGTGATTGTAATACTGCACAAGCAAAAAGAGTATTTTTTCTTGACTGACAAGCTTAAACAGAAAATGATACCATTTTGATGGGACAAATTGGAAGGAGTAATCTTCACTTTTAAATGACAGAGTTCAGACTGAATTCAGTCCAAAAGGCAAGAGAATTTTTAGAAAAATTTAAAGGGGAATTGGAAGAAATGCAAATGAAAGTGACAGAGAGCCCTAAGCAACAGTCACTACAAGAAACTAAGGAGGAGACCACCATGTTAGGTGCAACAGATATTGACTTTTCTAAGGTTTGGGCATAAATACAGATTTTAAATGCCTAACATGGAATATCAATGGAGAAAATGCTCCACAAAAAAGAAGAAAATTATTTCACTACTTTAAAAAATTGAAACAAGATGTAGTTTGTCTACAAGAAACACGTATTAGAAAAAAGGACACAAAATATTTGATTTGCAAACATTTGGCTGAAGAATTTATTTCAGCAGAAGCCAAAAAGAGAAATGGAGATGCCTTGTATATAAACCCCCAATTACAACCAGAACTGATATTGACTGATAACTATGGCAGATACAGTATGTGGGGATTGAAGCTACTTTGCATGGGGCCCAAACTTCAATAATGGGAATGTATGCTCCAAATGAGGATGAAGTAACATTTTACAAAGGACTTATGGATAAACTAATGGACTTACCATATGAAAATTGATGTTTAATGGGAGACTGGGATGGAGTAATTTGTCCACAAAAAGACAGAACCTCTGAGAAAGATATTAAAACAACACAATGTAAATTATCAAAAATATTTTTTTGATATGATGGACAATTTAGAGCTTATAGATGCATGGAGATACAAAAATGGTGATGCAAAAGAATACATTTAATTTTTCTGAAAGACACCGATTTTTTAAAGAATTGATGTTTTGTATATCTAAGAATTTGGATACTAGTGTTCACAAAGTGGAGATACTGCCAAAGACTTTTTCAGATCACAACCCAGTGACTTTAGAATTTAAAAGGAAAATCAGTTCCTTTAGTTGGAGGTTAAATGAAACATTGTTGCAGAAAGAAACAGTAATGGAAGATTGCAAAAAGAAGTGAAAAGAATTTTTTGACAATAATTTTAATAAGGATACAGACATAAGGATGATTTGGGATGCAAGTAAAGCTTTTATGAGGGGACATTTCATACAGCATGATAGCAAACTAAAAAAAGAGAAACAAGAGAAAATGCGAGCAATTTTATATCAGATAAAAATGAAAGATGAATTAAAGAAATCCCCAGAAACGAAAATTATTTCACAACAAATTAAACTTTTACAATGGCAGTTGTCTTTGTTAACAATAAGAGGAATGGAAGTAAAAAATGAATTATGTAAAGCAAAAAATTTTGATTTTGCAAATAAACCAGGGAAATGGCTGGCATATAAATTAAGGAAAGAAAAAGAGAAAAAAATGATATTAAACATACAAGATGAAAATACTATAATAAATAATATAAAAGAAAAGTTTCCCTGGCAAAAGTTGATGAATATTTAAAGAAACAAAGTTTACCAAGCCTGCTGCTTGGTTTGGAGGAAAAAGTGGGTCCTGCTGAGAAATAAGAGAATTTTAGAAGTAGAAAAGCACGATCTGAGGTTTGGATGGCATGGCTTCTTATGGTACAGTAAAGTTAAGGTTAATGTAGATTTTAAAAATCATTATATTAGATGTGCCATATTGAGAATATGGAATAGATATAAACCCAGATTGTGCCGGAAAATGTCTTTATGGGTCTCAGCACAAGAAACATTTTATAGAAAAGAAACAGCAGGTCAAGAGTTGTTAGAACAAGAGCATGGAGAATATAAGATAAAATCAAAAGAGCAGCTGGCAGCAGAGGGATTTAGTTTTCAATGGTTTTTGTATGCACAGTTAAGAGAAAGATTTAAGGTAGATAAAGCAGAGGGATTTAGTTTTCAATGGTTTTTGTATGCACAGTTAAGAGAAAGATTTAAGGTAGATAAAGCAGAGGGATTTAGTTTTCAATGGTTTTTGTATGCACAGTTAAGAGAAAGATTTAAGGTAGATAATAGGACATTTGGAATTAAGCAGCAGAATACAGAATTTGTAGTTGAACTATGTACAAATGATGAACATGTAATTGCTAAAATGTATAAACTTTTATTGAAA